GGTTACTTAATTTGGGATTTGGAATTTAGGGAAGAAGTATTTAAATCCGTTTTGAATTTGAAATTCAAATAGAACTCATTTAAAACTTTCCAAAAATAAAATGATAAATTAGGAAAGATTCCAAATTTCAAATGGGTTGAATTTGAATTTTGAAAATATGCCCAAAATTAAATCACCCAAATTAAGCAAGGATTTTAAGGGGGAAAGAGGAAGTGGGGGTGGCAGCAGGGGGGGTTTATGGCCGGCAGTATGGGGAGGTAGGGTGCCTTGAGGTTTAGGGGGGATGTGGTGCTCGGGTGATGTGGGAAAATATCGTCTCCTTAGGGAGGAAGATGACGAGGAAAAGATATAGATTAAAACCACGAACCCGTCCGTCTCCAAGGTTGGTGGGTGGTGTGCAAATCTCCCTCTCCTAGGGATCTCTCTCCTTTGGAACTCTCAAGCTCTCTCAATACTCACGCAAGAGGAAAATTTTGTGATGGGGACATCAGATCGTGGAAGGTTTATCAGAGACGTGGCTGCCGATCTACGGCCACGATCGAGTCTTTATATTTTTGAGTCTTTGGTGTATTTTATTATTCATGTACTTTCTTATTTGCTTAGGTGTCTTTTGTTATTTCCCTTTGTACCCCTCTTATGGGAGTTGTCGACTTGTCGTATGTAAGCCCAAAGGGCAATTGAGTCTTTTATTTCTCGAGTCTATTGTACTTGGCTATATATAGCCCTTTGCTTATTATTTCATGGTTAATGAATGAATGATTATTAAAATTTCTTCTTGCATGAGCATTGAGAGCTTGAGGGTTCTAATGGAGAGAGCTTCCTAGGAGAGGAAGGAAATTTGCGCAATACCCACCAACCTAGATAAGCTGGGTTCGTGGTTTCTTTCGTTTATCGTGATTTCTCCTCGTCCTTTGTTTCTACCTCCTCCTCCCCATCCTCGTTTAGCCGCCGGATTTTAGCCCACCAAAATCCCCTTCCCTTCCCCTTCACCCCCACGGCCAAAATCCTATCCCGAACCCCATTGTCACCGGATACCACCACCTAGCTGCCGGCCCCCCTCTCCACTCCCTCCCCTATTGAGTTCCATTGCCTAATTTGGATGAACCTATTTTGGGACAAATTTTAAAATTCAAACTCCTTTAGTTTGATTTTGAAATCTTTCCAAATCTACCCAAAATCTATTTTTGGAAAGTTACCAAAATTAAGCCTATTTGAATTTTAATTCAAATTGGATTTAATTAGTTCTTTCCTTATTTCTAAATCCAAAATTAGGAAGCTCTTAAACTCTCTTCACTAAGGCCCACTGAACCATCATTGCCGCCAGACTCTTAATGGTGGGAATGGGATTAGGAATTCTTCCCTAAAACCCATCCCCTCTCTTTGGAAATATTTCCCTTCCCTCACCAGCCGAAAATTCCAAAGTTCAAACCTTTAATTATTTCCCAAAACTGAGAAGTGGAATAAGGAAATAATTCTCAATTCCTCTCTGCATCCCGCCGCCCCTCTTCACTGGATTTCTCCTGAAATCTGTCCAGAGTACATTGTTCTCATTGGAGAGATTTGGGATTGCAACCTGCTGTTGGCCGAACTTCCCCCAAGACCTCGCCTTGGGTGGCCTCTCTCTCACATCTCCTGTATCTCTCCACTAGCTTTTCACTTACTCAAAATCTGAGACGACTTTTCAGATTTTAGGTGCCGGCCTTCCTCTCTTGTGATAAGAAAAGAACTTCTTTCTCTACGATCATCCTCAAGATCCCTAACAAGAAGAAGAAGATTTGGCATCCGGCACCCATGAATGGCGGATCCGGAGACTGAGTATGGAATAACTTGGGACGAAGACGACTTCACCAATATCCTACGTTCCACCTTCTTCAACGTGAATCTTGAGATTGACCATACCGTTGAAGGCTACGTGGAGCGCATCTTATTTGCTTTGACGGAAGCCATTGACGAATACTTTGAAGGCGTTGAGTGGAGGATCTCCACCTCTCCCTAACGAAGGTTTCTCTTTTCCCTTGCGTCTTAATTCCTTTTAGTCTAAATTCTCGTTGGTTTGATTGCAGTCACAACGGATTCTTCCAATTGCTCTTGCTTAAGCTTAGTCATCGTAGGATTTGAGCGCACCTCGATGCATCCTAATTCTCATTGTTAGATTAGGGATTAATTTGAAAGCTACTACTAAGTGTTGTGTTAATTTATGTATTTATTTTGGAAGTTTCAAAACTCATAGCATGTGATCTAAACCTAAATGGATAACTCCTAATCGTTTTGAATCGTTGTTTGAATTCTCTAGTAATTTTGTTCTTGAATTATTCAAATCGCAAGTTGTGCAAGCTCCTTTTAAGTTAAATTGCATTTCATTTACATTGTCCTGCATCATTTTGATAAGCAATCATTCATTACATGAAACAATAAGCAAAGGGCTATATATAGCCAAGTACAATGGACTCAAAGAAAATAAAAGACTCAATTGCCCTTTGGGCTCATACATGACACATCCCAATAAAGGGGTACAAATGGAAAGACCAAAATAACAATAAACAAATAAAAATACTTAAATAATGAAATAACAAAAAGGACTCTGAAATACAAAGACTTGATCATGGCCGTAGATCGGCGGCCACTTCTCTGATAAACCTTCCACGATCTGATGTCCCCATCATTTGTGCTCCCACATGGAAAAAATTTTGGTTTCGCCCCTAAATGAAGTGACACGGATTGCAGTACCATCATGGCTAGACGATTTAAGAACACAATACAAATTTTTAGAGACAAACTTTGATGATTGGTCGCATTGGAGGACATCCTAGTCTAACAATGTGTAAGGTGTGGCTGCTTTATGACATCTCCAACAAACTTCATCTTTTTTTTTTTTTTGAAATAAGTTGCTCGAACAAGCTTGCTTGCAGTAGTCATTAAAAGAAATAACAAATATCATTGCAGTAATCCTCCAATAGTTGAAGATGGAGGAAATCAAGAAGCAAAATCGAAAGGGCACCACAGAAGGTCATTCCCAAACATCTTAAAAAAATAATTTACTGCAAGCATTCAAGATCTCAATGCATTATACAGAGAAACATTGAAACCTTCATTTAGAATTTCAAGAATGCTGCAAAAGAGAATGAGGTAGTTGCTAAGTTGAGGCACTCTACGAATGGTGAAGGCTTGAGAATCAGTTTGCTAGGTCATAGTTCTCATTGCTTCATTACACTCTCCTCTGATTTATCTTCATATTCTTCTTCCTCACCCCAAATTAAGGTTTGTTTAAAGTATCCCTTTTTATGATCCCTCTTAAGAAAAATGGGTGGTATTTTTAATGCTAAGGGTGCAATCTTTCAACCCTATTTATAGGATATTAAACACATGCTCCCCTTCTTCTTACTCCATCTTAATTGTCCATGGTTAAAGTTTATACCCTATTGATGGTCACTACGTTGACTTCTTAGTGATGTAGGATATGGAGGTGGTCCTATCAATGGAGCCCGAGCAAGAGCAAATGAAGCTCAAGCCATGATGAAACTATGAAAATTTATATTAATGTGTGTTGTTTTTATGTATTTTCATGTTTATGGAATTATAATTATATGTGTAAGACTTTGTTTTTGTTTTGTAGATTTCATATGTTAATTGGCTAGTAGAAGCACTTAATTGAGTTAATTAAGTGCCTCATGGATGGAGTGAGTGGCTGGCCAAGCCAAGTAGTCAAGGAGGAGTGTAGGGGCTAGCCAAGCATGGTAGGAGGGAGAAGATATGGTGGTTACTAGTGTGGGCCTTTCCCTTCCACTTCTCTTTTCTAAATGCAAAAAAAAAATTTTTTGGGTGGAACTTGTATAAATTCTTAATTGGCCGTGGAATGAAGGAGATTGTTGTGTTTTGTGATTGAATTTTTAAGACAATCATTGGTTAGAGCTTGGTGGCCGACTAATTAGGAGGGGTTGGGTGATCCTTCTTAGGGCTACTATTTGGGTGAATAGTAGGGTTTATCTTGCTTTATTTTCTTTTGTATTTTATACTGTCAGACATTTCCCACTCTAGAAAATTATAATTCTAATTTTACTAGCATTCGAACTTATCATTTGAGGACATTTATGAGAATCAAATAAATTAGGTTAGAACTAACTTAGTTTTAGATTGTTTTCACCTGGGTGACTTAAACTCTTAAAAATTTTCAAAAACTCTCAATACCCTAAGTTTTTATCTCCTTATATTTATTTAGGGTTTTTATTCACTAATTTTGAAGTTCTAGAAGCTCTAAGTCACTTATAGCCTTCAACTATAAAGAGGAAATCTCAGATCAATTTGATGAAAAATTATAAAACCTCCACAAAAATTATTAAATTCTCTATATCATAACTAGACTTCGTAAGCTTCAAATTATTATTTTTATTTTATTTTATGTCATTTGGACTAATCGAGAGGAAGTTATAAGTGTTAGAACCTAGGGTTCCAAATCCTTGTTGGTTGCTGGAATTGGATTGGCTGACTACTAATTCCTTCGCAACCCAAGTTCCACTCAAATTTAAACTTTATCAAACATAGCCTTACTTTTCTAAGCATCTTAGGAGATACCCCATCCCCAGATTGGATCATATCAATGATCTAAATCTCACATAAGCAGCAACACCACTTAGCTTCAAGCATGCATAGAGATTTACCTTGCAATTCCTTTAGGAATGATTTGAGACTATTTGGGGCTTTAAGGAGGAAGTGGAATCACTTGTAGCTTTTTCCTTAGCTATGGTGGAGTCTTTGGCACTTTTCTGACGAACTAGGCTTCTTCATTGCTCTAATACTTGGGTAAGTATGAGATGAGGGATAGGTAAGCCACCTTCTTTATCCTCATAGTAGTGATGGTGGTGGGCCAAGTAGGCGTTTACCTGGCAAAGGCTTCAGGTCTCTTTTCTAATCTGTTTGCTTGAGCTTATTAATGCTTGATCTTATTAATGCAAGAGCTGAATAAGCTCATCTTATTTTTGTTCTGTCTTGATTTTCCTTGTCAGGGTATCAGCACATACGAGTACATTGTAGCCTTGAGGGAGCAAGAACAAGGTGTTGGCCAGCAAAGCCCACAAATGTCCTCTATTAGCTCTCTTACTGGATTCAGCAGTGCAAGTTCCTTTACTGCATTTCAACGTGGTTCATGGTGTACACCACCACGGCTATTTCTAGAGGACGAGGTATGAGAACTACACTTGCAAGCAACAACAAATGAGTTATCAAGAATGCAATACCTAGCATATAAAATAAAGAATCAAACTTGTGGTGAATACGAGTTGCCCATGAGTAGGGAGTTTATGCTGTTGCAAATCTAAGTCAAGCACTATGATTTTGATGGTAACAAACATTATTATGTCTGTTACTGTTTTCTCTTATTTTTGTGATATTTTATTCATTTCAAAAAATCTGTCCACCGTTCACTTGCAATTTTGATCAACTCAAGACTGAGTAGACGAGGGTTGCAGTCGGTTTTTATTTTATTATGTATTTTTTTCTTTCTTGAGTCGTATCATGTATTTGGATGGATATCATTATTGAGTAACCTTACACACACAAAGGGGGAGAAAAAATGTTTTTTTGAAAGCCTTTTTTATACAATTTTGGTTTTGTACTATAATTCTTTATTTTTTCTACGTTAATACCCTTCTTTGCAATCAGATTTTTAATTTCAAATGCGTTTCCCTTCTTCAGTCCGATGTCATTCCTCAAGAAATTACCATGGCAGTAAATTCTGATGGCAAGAAAATAATGCCACCAGATGAAAAAGCTAGGAAAAGAAGTACAGGAAACATCAAAATTAGTCCTTGGACATTGGCAAGATTGAATGCAGAAGAAGTTTCGAAAGCAGCCGCACAGGCCAGGAAGAAGTCCAAGATTTTGCAGCCAATTGTGAAACAAGTTCCAAAACTCGACAACCGAAGAAGAGCCAGCCTTAGAGGAAGCACTGGCGATGAACTTGCCACAGAGTCTTCCAGCTGCTTAGCTCCACTGCAGCTTGAAGCTAGAAGTGCCTTTAGGCCAAACCGAGCAACTTCTACTGTTACACTTGCATCCTCTCCAGATAGCAGCTTGGACTCACCACATCTTCATCCCTTTCGAATCTCTTCCTCAGGAGCTGAGGATTCACAGGGGCCAATACCAATATCTCTACCATCCACTGGTGCAGGAGCAGAAATAGATAAAGGTGTGGAGTTCCTAAGATCCACCAGTGATGGGTACGAAGCTTCTGGAGGTGAAGACAGTGACATGGTTCCATCAAGAATTGTGCACAGATCATTCAACTGGACAAGTGTAATCTTCAATTCGGATCCGGTAGAGAGGCCTACGAGTGGACGAATCGGCTGAACCGTCATCCTTAAAGCTTTCTGTTTCATTTGGCTAAGAAAGGCATGCCTATCCACCATAGCTGCAATGCCAATCAGAAGTTGCTTTTTTGTTTTGTTTTTTTGGTTAGAACTCAACCCCACTGTTACTGTTTCTCTGAATGATATCTAATTGTCATTTTATTATGGCTAGTGCAATGTTTTGCATTGAGTACAGACCATTTTTTTGTCTTTGAAGAAACAAACAAACTGTTTAGATCAATATTTATTATCAATCAAATTCAATTATCTATGGTATTCACTCTATATGTTGAAAAAGTCTGGAATGGTCAAAAGAGGCAGCTCAATTCATATTGTGAAAGCAGAAAGCTGCAACAATGTGAGAAAGAAAGACAGCCTCTGGTTTCTCTTTGTTACAGTAGAAACACTAGTCATTGCAGAGATTTGTCTCTGCACCTTTGGTTTTTCTGTTTCTAACCATCAATTGCCCAGAAGAAAATAAAAGGTTGGTGCCAGCTAGCCTTATAAGTCTTTTTTTTTTGGTTGAAACTTTCAATGAGATTGGAATTGAAGGGAGACTAATTTTGTTTGAGACAGTTTTTTAATACTTCTAAAAATAAATTTTTAGTACAAAAGTTAAATTTTTTTACTAAAAAGCTGTTTTAAGAAGCAGTAAAAAATTTGTTTCAAATGAAGCCTATAATTTGGAATTACTGCACAGTAAACAGCTACTTATTAGACGACATTAAGCCTATGATTAAGCAAGATTATTCAGTTGTTGATTCATCCCATTACGTGGGGTTGGTTATATGAACTGTTTTTCTTCATTGTATCATATTAAGAGTCAAATTCTCATTTAAATTTATTTCTAATATTTTCTAACAAAAGCCTTTGCCTTTTTTACTATAAGTCAGTCTAATTAACCAGATCATCGGAAGGCTAATTTTTTATGTGACCAAACTAAGGCGATTCTCTCTAATCTTATTTGTCTTTGGAGCCGCTCCAATCTTTTCATGTATAGATATATTTGTTTCACATTCTGTATATAAGAGTGAAGCCACTCATTCACTTGAGCATCCTCATCTATGCAACACAACTTAATTTTATGCTTCTCTTTTTAGAGGCCAACATTTTCTGCAATTAAACATTGCAGGTCTCACCATCATCTTATAAACTTTTCCTTAAATTTGAAGGGTACTTTTCTACCACACAACATACCCAATGCATTCCCCCATTCGAACCATCCAACTTGAATTCTACTAATAATATCTCAATCTATTTCACCATCACTTTGAACAATAAATCTGAGATATCTAAAACATGTATTCTTATTAACGTAACTTGATCGCCCAAAATTACAATCTTGCCACTAGATCTATTACTATTAAAATTACACTCAATATATTTGATTTTAGATCTACTCAAATAAGAACATTTAGACTATGAATAACCTCCATAATTCGAGTTTATCTTCAACTAACTCTCTTGTTTTATCAACAAGAAGAGTATCATCTGCAAAAAACAAACACTAGGGTAAATCCTCTTGCAAATGTCTAATACGAAAATCCAACATAAGCAAATATACATGGGCTTAAAGCTGATCCTTGATATAATGCAACTGAAATAGAAAAATACTTGGCCAAACGACATTGTTTTTTAACACAAGTAATAGCTCCTATATACATATCCTTAATGACTAGAATATAAGCATTATTAACCACTTTCTTTTCTAAAACTCTCTAGATCACTTCTCTTAAAGTTTTATCATAAGCTTTTTTTAAATCAATAAATATCATATGTAGAACCACCTTATTTTCTTTATTCTTCTCCATGAAACCTCTTAATAAATGTATAGCTTCCATAATAGATTTATCTGGGATGAATCCAAATTTATTTTGAGAAACATTAGTATCACGTCGTAACCTATGCTCAATAACTCTCTCCCATAGTTTTAAAGTATGACATATTAACTTAATTCTTCTAAATTCACATACTCTTATGCACGACCTTTTTTCTTAAAAATAGGAATATACACACTGCTTCTCTACTCATCTGTCGTCTTTTTAATTTTCAAAATAATATTGGAAAGCTTTATAACCAATAGAAATAAATAAGATGAACATATAAAACAATTTAAAAAAACCGTTTATAAAAAATGCCAACATTTATATGATTTGACTAAAATAGTATGTTTATGTTTATTGAAGAGGTGAGACTACCACCATTGAGACGATAAAATTGCACAAATAAAAGGGGTACAGATAATCTTATGAAATCTTAAGCAAATGCAAAAAAAACACACTATATATATATATATACTAGTTCTATTGCACGTGCATTAAATGCACGTGAATAAAAAATAAAAAATAAAAATTTATTTAAAAGTATTTTAAATATATTCTTCTTCTTAAAATAAATTAAGTTTATCACTATTAGTAATAATAGTTATTAATTATATTAATGAAGAGTAACATATTTTTATTAAAATCATAATAGAAAAATATATATTAATATAATTTTACAATTCCATATTAAAAAATACATGTTTTTTCTATATAACAAATATTATCATAAAAATAATCAATTCATATTTAGAATAAAAGCTCAAAAATATCATTATAAATATGTCATACTAATCTAAAATAATAAAAGAGATAACAAATTTATCTTATTTCATTCACAAAAGAACATCTCATATATAATAAAATTTTACTATCTTACAACAATTTCTTTAAAGGCACTTTTGATGGTGAAATATGCATATCCAATGGTAATGAGATTAATTATTTGAGGCACAACAAACAAAATAAGAGCAAAGCAGCAAAAACCCACGAAGAAACATTTTGTTATCATTGCTGAAAATTTGGAAAATAAATAAAAGAATCAATATTAAATGAATAAAACAGAAGAACAACCTTGCATACAAGTATTTGAAGTAGTAGTGGATAACTGGGAAGCATGCAAGTCGAGACACAGTCCATCCATTGCAGAAGAAAGACGAAGACGACTGGAGCCAAAGGACCATATGAAAGTTTCATCAGTAGGCAAGCACCACCAGGGACGGAGCCAGAATTTTTTCCTAGCGAGGCACAAATCATTAAAGTAAGAAAAAATTTCTCACATTAAAATTTTTTTAGATCCAGAAATGAATAATCAAACAATTTACTAAAAGTAAGCAAATGTTGAAGCAGTTTTCACTTTAATCCCAAATTTACTAAATCTGAAACAGTATTTTCTATCATAATATACTAATAAATATGAATAAATTTCTCACCGGTACCCAAAAACAAAAGCCCATACGCCAAAAATTTTCTCCAAAAAACATAAGACCCCTCAAAAAATAAATCAGAAGATCATAATCAACCACAATCATGAAATTAAGGTAAAAAGATTTACTTTAGTGTCAAAATCTGCTACCAGATTCAGACATCAAACGTATGAAAGAGTTTGGGGTCGGCTTAATCGGCATCAACAAGCCGTAATCCAAGCAAGAATTACGACCAGAAGAAGACCTCCGGTAGATGCTTGCGATTTCTTGCCCGTTTCCAACTGAAGGATTTCCTCCTCCTCCTGAACTATCAGCACAAAAACATTGGAAAGAGAAAGAGTAATTACTTCCCGCGTTGGGATGAAAATAATATATAATAATTTTGATTTAATATATAATTAATGAGTCATAAATATATTTAGTTTGATATTAATAATACAATCATAAATATATAACCCCCATACTGGTGTGTTACAAATAAAGAATTTGAAGAGTCATAAATGAACATTTCAGATTATTTTAAAATTTACAAATGAACGATCAGGATCTGCTAAGAGTGAAGTCCCAAGCCACTTTTATATAGTAGTATATATATATATATATAATTATGTCCTATCTAATAAAATAAACCAATAAACTCATATATTTTTTCATGAATTTCGAAACAAATTTCTATGCACCTAAGTTTCAAAATAAAGAGAAATTATTTTATGTGGAGTCCGGATGTAACTCTATGTCCCGACTCCAATTAAATTAAGGCACATGAATTTTTTAGTGCTATATATTTTTTTTTTCTTATGACCCAACAACCTTATCCAGGCCAGTTATGAAAATTTTGAAATTGTGAAAGCTAACTCATTTTTATGCTTTAAAGAAAAACCCGCAAAGGCTCACAAATATTTAGGGCTTTTGCGGAATAAAAATTTTGGTACTTGTTAAGAAAGAAAAACGAGAAACAAGCGATGAAGGTGGAGATTGAGTTTAGAGGACGTCACATTCTCTGAAGTGCCATTAGAAAAGAAAAAAAAAAGCTCAAAAGTAAGCTGAAATTTACTTACCTACTAATTAATTACTTTTCAATGTATATTATGAGGCAATATACTTTTGTTATGCTTAGTTTTTTGACAGAAAAATCTATCGTAGATGCAAATACAACAGAATTGCATTCACCTTCAAGGCTGATTAAGTTCTCAAATAAGCCCGACATCTTCAACAAGGAATTTATGAACTGGAAGCGATGATTTATGTGATTTTGAGATGTTTAAAACACATTGACTTATAATGTATTATTCAAATATTTATATATCGAATGCCACATAATTCTGTTGAAAAAATGTAATTTTTTTGCTAAAATGTACTGCCCATTGTTGTGTATTGATGTGTATTCAAGCTCATATGAATACTAAATGTTTTATTTATTCATTTAAAAGTTTTTTGAACTTTTACACGACTGAGTATTAGAAAAATTATGTTGAAAAATGTATTTTTTTTGCTAACACGCACTACGTATTGTTGTATATTGTTGCATAGGTCGGCTATAATTTGAAAAAGATAAGTATTTTTAGATTGAATTTGTTTTAAATGAGAATAATATGAGAATTGATTAATTGACTAGTGAAAATATATTATGATTCTGTTACAAATTGTAGGGCAGATGCATAAGTGATATTCTAATTTGAAAGCCCAATTTGATTTGTAAATAAAAAGTATATAACCATAAATGATGCAAATAGTATACCACTATAATATAATAAAAGTGATTATTTGCAAGTTTGTATTTTCACTAAATGCTTCCAATGTAATTAACTGAAATAATTTCATTCCAGAATCTCATGTCCCTACTAAAAAAATTATAAAATTTAGATCAAATGTTAAAAAAATTCCATTTTTAACATAATTTTTCTAATACATAGCTGTGTAAAAGCATAAAAAGCTTTTAAATGATCAAATAAAATATTTTGTATTCATATAAGCTTGAATTATATATTTTTTATAGCACCAACTTAGATTAAATTGAGTTAAGCTTGAATACATAACAATATATAAAGTATACAATAATACACGGTAAAATACACGATAATACACAGCAATATACATCAATATACACCAATACAAAACAATACACAATAATATATACCAATACACACCAATATATCTCAATACACAATAATACACATAAATACACATAAATACACACCAACACACAATAATACACAATAATACACATAAATACACAATAATACACATAAATACACACCAACACACAATAATACACAACAATACACATCAATACATAATAATACACGGTAATACACAATAATGCAAACTAATACACTTCAAAACATATTAATGCACATTAATACACAATAATACATAATAATACACATCAATATATAACAATACACACTAATACGCAGTAATACATAGCAATACACAGTAAAATATGAATCAATATATAAACAACAATATACAACAAAATAGAGACCAATACATAGAAATATATCCTAATACACATCAATATACAATAATACATACTAATACACACCAATACACAATAATACACACAAAATACATAATAATACACACAAATACATAAAAAAAATTACCCATCCATAAAAAATATTTTAATAAATATCATTATATACTTCATTTCGATCATTTTAATATATAGGAGCTAAGAAACATATCAAGTTATGTATATAATTAATTTTTATAAGCTTTACATTTTAATATTATTGCAATTACTATTAATGTATTATAGCTGAAGTTTTATCTTGAGAATTCCAAGTAGTTCTCGATTCATCAGGCAATGGAATTGAGGTGGTTTAATAATCAAAACTAATACATAACTAAATATTTATGTACTTATTAATCTATTTAACCTAATACAGCATGCTGGAAGTAAGCTAGCCATGAGCAATAACAAGCACAGGGCTCGGCTTGGGTATTGTAGCAAAACTTTAGGTTTCTGTAGCAATTGGGTCATACAAGAAAAACACAAGTATAAGAATGCACAACAATATACATTAATACACAATATATAATACATAATAATATATAGTAATAGACATCAATACATAGTTGTGAACAAGCTTAAAAGATTCAAAAAAATATTTCTTATACACAATTTTGTACAAGCTAAAAAAGATTTGAAATGAACTAAAATAACACAGAAACAATTCGAAATGGTTGTTTGTTGGTCTGTTTCGCATTTTTCTCTGTCAGAAAGTATCAAAATTGATATTTCATCTTCATCTCACAGCATCAACTTTCGATATTTGCAAGGCTTGCTTTCTCTCGCACCAAACTGCTCCCCCTTTCGATATCTACCATTAAAGTTGTTGCTCATATTTTGTCATGAAAGAAACCCTTGTTCATGAACTCAAAAAATAAAAAAAAAGACCTCGCCTATGAACTCCACCCTTAGCCATAAGTCTCTGTATTCTAACTTTTAGTTCATTCCCTCTCCCTCGACGACCAATCAAAACAAATAAGAAATAATGATTTTTTCTAAATTTTTCTTTCATTTTTTCACCTGATATATTTGAGAGCTTTGAGAATTTTCCCCCTTTCTTCACCTGATATTTTGAAGCTTTTGCAGGTTTCATTAATTTTAAAAAACATTATTGAAGCTAGGTGGGTCATCGGTTCAAAGAAAAAAAGTGTTTGTTAGCATTTGATTAGAATTCAAACATAGAGCTTCGTCTGCACAAAATAATTTCTCCAAAATAAGAGGTTGTTGGTTCTCTAAAAAATAAAAAATTTATGATATATAAAATCATTAAAAGAGATGAAACAAAAACAAAATAGAGAAAATGAGTAAATATCTGAATTATTTTATTTTTTTCTCCCTCTTTTCAATTTTTCATACAACAACAAATATTGTAACATGTGTACTGCTTAATATTTACTCAATCTTCGCAGTAAAGAAAGCTGGTCTAGTTTCAGCTTTTGCGGTGGCAAAAGTGTGTTTGCAATTCTGCAGTATTTATGGGAGGTGACGCCACCCACAGCAATGTAATGATAACACTGTATTCCTTTCATGTTCTCAAATAGTGATGAGCAAAGAGAAGACATACCTCCATTAATGGAAAACAGTAACTTAACAGTCCCTTGCATTGAAGCTCCTGAGCTTTGAAGATTAAACGGACAAGAAACTTCTCTAAAAAAATGGCTGACACAATGATTTAGGACTGGTGATGCGACAGATACATCATTTCAGGTAATAATATGATATTTTTGTTATGCAAAAGAGCCAATTATTGATGATTGCTATGCAAAATTAAAAAAACTAATAATTCAGACATACTTATCTTTTGTAAACACAGAGGTTTCCAACATCAAAAGCTGAAGCAACTTCTTATAATGTGCCATGAAGAGATTTTGAGCAGCTCAGCAATAGAACATAAGCTTTTTGACATTGTCTCTGACCTTAGGCAATGGAGCTGTTCGAGGGGGAGAAGCTCTTGAGAACTTACTTTGCATGACTGACCTGGAATCACTTTTCTCTAAATACAATCTACCTCTATAAGCTGCTAAATGAGCATAATATGCAGGTGGCACTAAAGCAACTGGTTTAGTACACCTAACAAATGTGTAACATAAATTATGTATCAGCTTCTGAATTTCATCAGATTTGAATCTGTTCTCATCCCATAAGACATGATAATGTGTTGGCCTACTTGTTCCTTTCATCCCCCAATGGCTACAAAGATAGAAATCAAATTCTCTAGGATGAGTTATCACAGTATCCACAACAGTTCCAGGTGGTATGTTCTCATCAGTAAAATGAACTGAGGAGCTGTTTCTATCATTCATGAAGAGTCTAGTATGGTGTCTCTTTTGAACCACAGAAAATGTTATCATAGGATTATAATAAGGAAATTTTGAACAAGCCTTCTTAATTGCTTGCAATTCTACTTCCAGTACCTTACTGAACTGTGTTTCACTCACGCCATCTCTGAAAAAGATTATTCTTATGGGAAGTTTGCAGACTAAGATGAAGAAATCGTCGAGCAATTCGATCATCATTTGCTCGAGTTCCTCGATGATTTCTTGCCGATGTGTCTGTGATCTCATTCGAGATATGTACTTATTTGCCGCTGGCCAATTCATGCTTCCAACAACAGCAGCAACTGAAGGGCTGAAATCATCCAAAGGGTGTGGATGTGTAACATCTGCACCTATGAAGATGGCAGGTTCATCATCAGCAAAAATCCTTGGAATTTGACAGGGTAAAGTGTTGTAAAGAGCCACATTGGATCCTCCAAGCTTGGCATTGATCTTCAGAGCTAGATTTGTGAGGAACTGTGGGTTGAGCTTGCTGAGATTGGAATATAAGCAGCACTGACTCACAACTCCAATATTAGTTTCAGCAATTCTCTTTAAATCTGCGTATCCTTTATGTTTCTTCTCCATCACACACATCAGAAGTTGCAAATTACCCAAAGAAGTTTCATGTACTTTTCTTAGCTTGTTCTCTAAAGCATGTACATTGCTGAGGAGCTGCATTTGTTCAAACAATGGGTTCATAATTGTTTCCTTATTCAGAATTATCCCAAGTTGCTCACATCTATGTGAGAGCTGGCCTATGAAATTCGGAATTGAGGAATTTAGCTCTGATGATCCACCAAAGCTTATCAAAGCCCATCTTTTGACTTGAGAGCCTTCAGCTACATGGCTGTTGAGCAAACTCCATTGCCGGTCATGTCTGGTAGGGATGATATCCCTTACATGCCCTCCGTCACCTAGCTTTAGCTTGGGAGGTTGGAGGACTCTACCGCGAAGCTCGGTCATTTCTCTTGAAACACTTAGCTTGAATTCCTCAGCATAGCAGCCACTGCATCAATCATTAAATAAGAAAAAAAATGTAATATATGCATAGCAACACAATTGCAAAGTATTAATTGTAAGATTGAGTTCTGTTTCATCACCTAGCTGGTCCACTCTCTCCTTTCATGACTTGGTTGATGATCTTTCTTCGATCGGCAGGACCTTGACAGCCCATTTTCAGAATTCTTGCAGTCTGATAATCAGAAAGTTTTGCAAGAAATTTCTGTCCTTCACAGATCATGCAGAGCTCCATGGGAAGATAACATGGCTTGCTTCTACTAATCTGTAAGCAAGGAAGGTTTATGAATTGAATCTCGTGATTATAATGCTCCTTGTAGTATCCAATTAATGACAAATCCCTCCCATCCCTGTCTCTAAACTTGAGATTCTTTGCAACTTCATTTGTCAAGCTAAAAACTCGATATCTCTGATCTGTTTCTCTATGACAGACAAAAATTCTGATGTTTTTCAAAGCCTTCTCCACTTCCTTCTTCTCCTCCTCCGCCAAACCTCTTGATTTCCTCACAGAAAGGTCTTTTAAGGATTCACAACATTTCTGTAAATAAGGAATGATACCAATGCTCTCATGAAAAGCCGTAACTGAAAAATCAACATTGAGAGCTAATCCTTGTTGCGTCGGTCTCAGACTTTGGAAGAAGCCTCTTAATCCCACAGCTCCGCCACCAATGTCTTTAACACCTCCCATAGCACTAGAATACAGTGATCTTCCTACAGAGATATAATTCTCCATTGGGTTCTCGCGGAACACGACATCCAAAGCGTGGAGGTACTCTTGAGGAAGGGGAACTCCATCCTCTTCATCATCTTTCAAAAACTTATTCAAATCTTCACCACTAAGCTTGGAAACTAATCTGATACTTACTCTGAAAAGCTTTTGACTTTGTTCAGCATTCCTTAAAGATTGAGGTGTGGTTATTGGAAGATTAACAAACAACTCAATCCTGTCAACTTGGAATTCAACTGAGCTGTATAAATTCTTCCTGCCATCAAAGACTGGCTGGGCACCAGCAAGGACATCAATGTTTTCCAGAACCAGCTTTCTCTTGATCATCCGTGCAACTTCCCTCGATGGGCGAGGAGAAATGCTGACATCATAGTGGAAAATTTTCTGCATTGGATCGAATTTGACAAGAAAATGGTTAGCAAGAAGAAATATTGGCAAGCCTTCAGTGCCGCAACAGTCTGGCCTCCGGGCAGAAACCATTGTCTGTAAAGACCTGTTATATTCTCGGTGTCCATTTATAATTTTTGCATTCTCATCGGTGCATTCCTTTCCATGTGATAAGATGGTTTTCTGCTCAACATCTGTGAGCATAACAAGAAGAAAACTAGTGTTTCAACATATAAAATATCAAAACTTGGAAGTTTACAAGATGAAGGAATGCAGAAAGAACCAACAATAACAAATTAAAGAAGAACACGAGTGACAAAGGAGGGAGCTGCAACCATGTTGAGTAGGAAAAATAGCAACTTTTGTCTCCAGCAATTTGGCATGAGAATATTTCTGTTTGCAGATGTTTTTCTGAACTACTTCAGGTTTTGATCCAGGCAAGTTACAGTGAAGCAGTATGGGAGCTGGTGGAATTTGAAAAAGTAACGGTCGTGGCAGATGCGGAGGTAGGGGAAGAAGAGCTGGGTGAGCTTGGTATCCTCCCTGTAAGTAGAATCTCTCATGGTTGAAAAGATTATGTCCAGAGTTGCAAAGCTCCACAACGCTATCTGTCTGAGTTCTCCTCAGTGGCTTGCACTTCTTGCTTTCCTTCTTCTTCTTCAAATCCCTCTTGTCCTCCTCCATCTCTCTCTCTCTCTCTCTCTCTCTCTCTCTCTCTGAAGGTTGGTGGTTTGGTTAAGGAAAAAAAGGCAGGACGTAGGATGTAGACAGAGAAGGGGAGCTGAGGACAAGGAAGCAGGAAGTATTATTATTATTATTGTTACACAGTTTTAAGTTTTCTTGTTTCTGATGCATCTGCTGTCTTGTTCTAAATTCCTCAAATGGGAATATGAGTAAATGAAAGTAGGGAAGACCAAAGGGGAAGAACAGATTGGAGGAAGGAAGCATTCATAAATGAGGAAATTTTCTTTATTATGGCTATATTTGGTGTCATACATTGAATGCACTCGCCTTAATGCATTATGCTATGCCATGATAGAAAGGTATCTTTCTGTGCCATATGAATGTTTGATATTTGGAAGTCAAAGTTGAAAAGGAGAGAGAAAGTGGGAATTAGTAGAGTTTTTTAATTTGTTGATTGAATTTATTTGTCATTGATAATGCTGTAAAGTTTATTCTTTTAGAGTTGAATTAGTTAATTAATTAACTAGTTGGAGTGATAATTAGCTTGAGCATCACTAACCAACCTAGTTGAAGGATTGCACTATGTGGTGGCATCTTTTAATTGGTTGGATTCTCCTTGTCATTATCTATATATATTTGTAGAGGAAAAAAGAATTAGTTATATCAATACTTGGATTATATAAAAAATTGAAATAAATAATTTTTTTTATTTTATATCAAATAATTAAAAAAAATATTTTGTGTAGAAATACTAAATAATTGTTTCTCACTTTTAGATTTAGTATTTCTACATCAACAGAATAAGAAATTAGCATAAATATAAAATAAAATATTAAGATGTAAAAAAGAGATATTTTTATTTTTAATAATTTTGCACTTATACCTTTAAAATATAATACAATTTAAGGATATTTTATATTAATATTTTTCAATGAGTTAGCTCATAGTTTAAAAGTAAGTGCAGAATTGTAGCTCATCAAATTCATATCACGACATATTTATTGAGTCATACTTATAATGCTTAACATAAATACACCCATGATATGAGCGGAGAGCTCAGAGATTAGCTTCGACAAATGTTAACCTTAATATAAGGTGCCAAAGAAAATGAATCTTAATATAAGGTAGAGAATGGATCTTGGTGTGATCTAAGTGTGGTCTCTAAGAATTGAAGGACTATATTCTTGTAAGGACTAAGGGCTACATTACGTGGGGGTCAATTCAAGTCAAATCAAGATCTTGCATGATGTTTTTTTAAAGGCTATTTGAATCAAACATGTACTAATTTATATGGACATATCAATATATATGTAATTTGATTTAGGCTTCGTTTGAGGAAAAATTATTATGTGCAGAGTTTGATGGAAACAATTATTCGTACATGTGAGTGTACACACTGTGTATAAATTTGTACACACTGTTAAATTTTTGCATACATTATTTGTACACAGTATGTACACATTTTTATATACACTCACGGTCTGGATGGATCTTTCCGTCCAGACTCTGCACAGAATAATTTTTTTAGTTTGAGATAGCTTTCTCGCTACTTTTTAAGATAGAAAAAAATATAATGATAAAAAACTGTCTCAAATAAAACCTTATTTTATACTTCTTTGATAACACAAAGAGAAAGATGTATAGTTAAGCAGAGTTATCTTCCATTCTTAATGCATATTTAAACTTGTAAGTAACATATCATATTAGAACTTAACTAATGTAATTAATGTAGCCACAAGCTTGTGATCTATTTTGGATTAAGGCTGATTCTCTTGGGCTGCTTTTATTTTCTCTTTTGCACTTCTCTTGATTTTTACAATATTTCAATCTATAGGAGGGTTGTTGCAAATATTATATATATATAATTTTACTAATAATGAAAAGACATTTGTTGTATGAATTCATTTTTCTTGTATTTAATTTGTGCTGCTACTCTCTCTCTCTCTCTCTCTCTCTCTCTCTCTCTCTCTCTATATATATATATATATATATATATGTGTGTGTGTGTGTGTGAGACATACTGCTACTCTCTGTTAAAACTGTCACAATTCTAGATATCGGTTTACGTTAAATATATTAGTAGCGGTTATGGTCGTTGCAAATTTGTAGCTTTGTACTGGTTATAACCGCTATTAAAACTAGCACTTCGTCCAATCTACCCCGCCGGTCCTTAAACCACAGCATAATATCGTTGCAAAGCATTACAATTACAATGGGGGTGCAACGGTTTTAGAACCGTTGCGAAGAAATTAGTGGCGGTTATAACTGCCGGGATAACTAAAAAATGGTGCTGCAATAGCCCTATTTTTTGACAGTAATTATATACACAAAGGTACATTAAACTAACAAAAATAATCATGTAATAATAATATTACTCTTTTTTTTTACTCTAATATAATTTAATGTTAACCTATCATCTCTTGTTACATTACTTAAAATTAATATTAATTTTGGAATACTCTATCATCACATACTAAAAAAAAAATCACATGACAATAAGACTTCCCCTAATATAAAACCAAGAAGCAAATCATGTACATAAATTTCTTGCATTTTTTAGAAAGCTAGGAAGAGAAGAATTAGGATACTTAGAAAAACATAGGCTAGGTAATTACTTGTGCAAAACTATGCGTATCATGTGCTAGCTAGACAAGATGTGACTATATTGCCCACACCTTGTTGCTTCCTATGGAGTCAAACGAGTGGCTTTAGGTTCCTATAACATAGTCAAGTATCCTAGTTAAATAAGGTTGAAGAAGACTAAAACAAACAAGGACATGAAACAAATTGAATCTAGACTTTGAAATGGAGGAAATTAATGCATAAAATATTATAATTTATGATTTAATTATGAATATTCAAAAAATTATTTAAGTTTTTCAACATTTTTTTTTCTTATTTTCTTTCAATCGAATTGCTGGCATTTATGTATAATGTTATCGAGCATATGATCACAAGTAAAGAGATTAAGGAAGAATAAACTGGTTGTTATGTTGAAATTTTGAGAAAAATAGGTAGAGTAACGATTTTACAAGTGAGAAGATGAGATTAATATCTATTGGTTAAGATAAGATGATAAAAGTAAACCGTGGTGATTTAGAAATACAATGTTAAAGCATATAGAAGGAAGGGGGCGAGTCAAAGTAAATATTTATATACGTTGTTTAAAAAAGGCATGAGCCAAATAATTAGGTTAACATTGATCTTATATAACAGTCAGCATAAATAAATATAGAATAGGTATTCATAAGTTAAACATAATTAATTTTTTTTACAGAGCACATTAATAATGATGATGAGACTGTCTTAAGTTAGAGAAAGACCTATATAGCCTACGACCATAATTATTTATTCATCATGCTTCCCACAAATGTGCTCATCGGGATTAATTTGAGTTGAGTTGCATAAATTAATAGATGACATCTATCAACTCATTAAGATTAAAGCTTCGTTTGTGACTACTTTCTTACTTCTTAAAGCTAAAATTTTTGTATTAAAAATCTGCTTTAAGAAGTAGTAAAAAAGTCATCTCAAATAAAGTATAAAGTAGTAGAAAAGCCTCGTTAATAATACATTAATACATAAACTCATTATTTTAGTTTTGATGTGTGCTATTCAACTCTTCCCCTATGTACATGTACATATGTCATATTTTATTCTCACATGAGAATCTTCAATCGTAATGGTCTTCATGATCCCTTAAAAAAGATTATCTTTTTTATTATATTAGGGCATAATCTCCTAGCTTCATCTTTTATTTGCAGCTATTCATTAAATTTAAATGTTATAGTTTATGAAATTTTTATGTATCAAAAGTATGCGGTCATTAAAAATTTATATTTTATCAAATAATACCTAAAAATGGCGGAAAATAATCTCCTAAGAAAAATAAAATAAATATTATGATAATATTTTAAAATTTTAAAATATACTAAGATATTTTCTATATTCTAACACATCATAGGAAGGTCAAATGAGAATGATTGAACTCTTTCTTATAAAAGAGCATTCCACATGCACTCAACACTTTGAGCTTGAGATGGAGAGGAAGCAAACGTCCAATCACTTTGTCTCCTTCCTATCTCCTCTCTCACAATCCCATCCTTGCCTACCTACTAACTTCTCCATTACTATGCCTTTGGATTTCTTTTTGGGCACAAAAGCGTTATGTGATGGGATTGATAACTGACAACATATCTCGCTATTGTGTCGGCCCAATAATCAGCCCGGCCCATTATACACTGAAATTAAAATCCATGTAAAATAATAACCTGTGAGCAAATAGATAAATTTGGCGGGGAGGTGTTTGTAAATAGGTATTGGGCCATTGGAGCATGATTCTTTAGAAAATATATGAATTAGAATAATTTGAATTTAGATATAAATAAATTGATAGTCGAAATTAACGTCAAGATGAATCCAATGACCCCATAATCATTTAACTTTGAGGTTGTTATTAAGACACTCAAATGTTGAATAAATAATTTATGATCAAAATGATTCAATATATATATATATATATATATATATGTTATTGTCTAATAGAGTATTATAAAATTTTGATCAAATTTGACAGAATGTTACTATTAAAATACTATAAATAGATCCATGTTATCTATTTGGAATGGATCTAGTTTGAGATTGGAGAGAGCTTGGAGATAAGAAGGGCTATAGAGCTTTATCTGGCATTTCATGTTGATCATCATCGAAGCCATTATTATTGTCTGATTGTCATTGATGAACTATAGTTGCTGGACTCTTATCTTATGAACACCATTGCCTAAAAATTATTTTATGACCATCATCACCTAGCTGTCATAGTCCATTTACCATTATATTGGGTGAGTTCTTAACTCCTTATAACCTTGCTTCGACAAATGCTCCTCGAGATAAGGCGTATTTTGGATGATTACACCTTTTAACTGCACTCCTCAAAGATGAACCTGCTTGATACCTATGAGTTATCCATATCATCATATATAAACATACAATCAAAGGAT